CGGGGCTCTACCCTACACCAAGGGGGGAGGGGGGGGTCAATGTCGATAGCGCCCGGCCAAACAAAAACCTCCATGTGGTTCGACGTTTCCCCCCCTTCTTCTCCTACTTCTTCTCGGAGCGTAATTATTCAATTTCTGCGCGGCAGAGAGGGCTCCCTATCCTTGGAGGGTTTAACCTGGCAATCAGCCGCTGGCCTTTGTTTGCAGGTGACCGCCCTTCAGGGACATTAATTCCCGGTGCGGTCACGCATCGGGGGGGGGGGGGGGGGGCGGCCCCCCGGCCTGGGGGGATTACTAAAACAGGGGGGGCAAAAAAACTGCCTTCCTTCCTGGGCAAAACCGGAAAAAAAAAAAAAAAGTTTTACCCCCTCCCGAGAAATGCAAACGGGAAAAAAAGGGCGGGGGCTTCCTCCCGGGCCCCCTTCTGGGGGAGTTTTTCCCCCCCCTTCTGGGCCAAAATTGGAAAGGGCCCCCAAAAACCCCCCGGCGTCCCAAAAACCCCGTCTAGGGAAACCCCCACCGTTTCCTTTTATTGATTGCCGCTGTCGACATTAGTTACGGGATGAATCACAAGCAGCCGGAAAAGGGAAACGTGGGACCTGAGCTGTTGTGACATTTTGGATACGTGAGCGAGGAGGACGGGCGGAGACAAACGCGCCGTTTCACAACAATTCTCTCGCCGAGTGTGCGTAATTGAGGCCTCGCTTTCTTTTTCATTTTTGCAACAGCGAGGGGCTTTATTTTATTTATTTTTTCCAAATGGCCTCTGTGTTCTTTTTCCACTCGACCGGTCTGCGACATGAAACGCTCTCCAGCAGATTAATGCTCAGGATGCATGTCACGATTAGAGAAAAGGCATCTGGAGCGGCTGCCGCAGGTATTTAGCGCCAGCAGCGACCCGCTTTGATCGCCTTTGTCTCCCCCTTTGGTGTTAAATGTTACGCGCCTCCCTGTGTTGTTTTTTGTCGTTTGTTTAGCGCTCCTGCTTTTGGCTCAGGCGAGATTAGCTGCGACGTGCCTCCGAGCGATTCACAACTTCTGGGCGAACCGTTAAAAATCCGACAGGTTCTAAATACTTCTGTCTCCGCTCCAAACCTTGATTTACAATCTTCGCCAACCCCCCCTCCGCCCCCCCGAAGAAAGGGGGCAAGAAATCGACAGCTTCCATTTGTGTGGACTCTATTTTATTGGAAATCCTTCTGCTTCCACTCAAGATTAAATGCATTACTTTGTTATGACAGCTGACGCCTCCCGTGAAGCCGACTGAGACCCGAGCAAATCCAAACGTCCGCATTCTGAGGCAAACTGCTCTGCGGTCGTGAGCGGGACTCGTCTATTATCTGAATCTGGCCGCCTGGAGGGAGAGAAAGCAAAAGAAGAGCGCGGACAGCGTTCAAGGAATGAGGCTGCCGGCATGTTTGCACAACTTGTTGCCACGGCGGGTGTGAAGGAGGAGAGATTTACGGCCCCCGATTAACAAATGAGAAATCAAACTGTCGGGGAGCTGTTGCCCCGTTTAACGCGCGTTTGCTCATCAGCCGCTTGTGCAACGGCAACTTTAACGAGCAGAAAGCAGCAACGGGGGAAGAAACGCTTTCTTTTCTCCTTTACCCCCCCCCCCCCCCCAAAAAAAAACCCACTCAGGAAACCGCTGCTCCAGTGAATGTGGGACGCCGCCGTCGAAGGCGATATTGTATTTCATTTCCTCTCAGTGAAATACTGATCCCGGAGATTCATGCGGCTCGCTTCAATCTAGTGCTCTGGCGTGAGCCCAAACATTCCTCCGTTGTTATTGAAGAGAAAACGCTACGCGCGAACACGCCTGGCGCTCCGCGTCGACAAAGCGCCGTTTTTAACAAAATGGAAAATAAATGTGAGGATTTTTCCGTCTCTGTGGCTGCAGAAAACACGATGGACCCCCGGCCCTTGTTTCCTGAAACACTTCTAGCTGAATTTACATGCAAGAGTGATACACCCCCCACCCACCCCCATCTCCTCCCCCATCTCCCCCCTCCTGCTGGTTCTCACCACACAGATTGACCAGTCATCTGTGACTCTCCCAGGGTTTAGCTGATAATTCACGACGGCCCCGCCGGCATTCAATGCGAGTTACCGAATGACGAGCCAAGCTCATCAATGGCCGACAGGCGGGATGCGCGTGGCCGCGGGCCAGAGAGGAGTTAGAGCACAAAAGCCCCCCCCATTCGGTCGACCCCGAGAGCCTGGAAATGCCAGTGTGGCACGAGGGGGGGCGGCTTCCATCCGCACAACGTATGGCACCGCTCGGGCCTTGTGTTGTGCGGAGACGTAGCGTTAACCTCTGCGACCTTTCGGGGAGGAACACAAACACGCCGGCGTGTTGAACCAAGGAATATTTCCCAACCCTCGTTGGAGAGAAATGTGCAGTGTGTTTCTCTAGCGGGGGGGTTGGGGGGCCGCGGGGGGGTTAAACTAACAGAGAAAAAGAGGCGCTGGAAATCTGTCTGGAATCTGTTGCATTATTATTGCAAATGAATCTTGTTTCTACTGACTGGGTGATAAGAAAGTCCCCTTAAAGTGTCTCATTGGCTCGATGCTGCAGCGCCCAAACAACCCCCCCCCTAAAGATATCACACAAGCCACTTTAATCTTTTTACATTTCTCTTTTATTTATACGCCTGCTCTCCTTTAGGCATCCAAACACACTGGAAGCGTTGACACTAGAGTTTACGCCGTAATCCGCCCGCGTCTGTCTTTCTTTACTTTAAAAGACTCGATAACGGAACCCGGCAGATCGGTGCGCTCGCGCCACCTTTGCGGCCGCCGCCTTCTCAGACCCGGCCGTCGGCTTTCTTATCTGCAGAATGGGCGTTCTGGAACATCTGAAGCAGATCTGAAACGTGGCCCGACCCGGCTCGCTGCGGCGTGATTTCACAGATGTGTTATTTGAAATGACACAAAGACGTTGGAGAATAATGGAGTACAAACACTGAGGAGGGAGAAATGGAATATGGAGAATTTAAATGGCTGTGTACTCAATTTAAAATGGGGAAAAGACAAATATTTGACATTATTTAGAGTTGAATTTAAAGAGTAAATAGTAATTTAATACATTTACATTCTGTCTTTCCATATATATTAGTTGTAATTGTCATTGGTGCATCCGACGTCTCCGTGCTGGATTCAAATTCCCTTCACCTGCACAAGAAACATCCCCCGAAAGACGAAGCACAGACGTAAACTCATGTCACCGATGACAACGTCGCTGCAAACCAAACATTCCAGCTACCAAACGCAGCGCAGTCGCTCATCTCAAACCGGCAGACGTTACGCGGATACTCCGCCTACAGGTGCACGAACGTCGACCAACTCCTGACGCACATTCCTCTCTTGGGCTCAGCTGCAACCAGCTTAACCTTGTTATTGGATATATTATTCAACTTACTACATACACGAATGCTTCTATATGACCTTTAGAAGCCGACAGTAGCAACAGGGAGACAATTGGTTCTTTCTGTTTGGTCATTCTTAATGATTTTCATTGGTGCCACCGTGCCGGATTCCGGTGAGATCAGATAAAATCATGCAGGTTCCCCCAGAAGCTGCAGGCCTCCTGCCGGGAACAAACCCACACCTGAATGGGGCGGTTTCATCTTACCATCATCGAACTCTCAGATTGAACCGCGGCATCGCAGCGACATGTCAATCGCCGCGTAGCCCCGCCCCCGATAGCACACCTGGCTTCACGCGTGCTTGCCTCTAAATGGACCATGATCTACTCAATCAACGTCATGCAGCATTGAAGAAGACGCCAGAGACGAAGCCAATTAACTCTGGTTTACCAGCTTTATTGATCTAATAAATCAAGTGAGAAGTGGATTGATTTCCCCGTAGATATCTACACAATCTGATTTGTCTTTGCAATCGGAGGACACACGATGGACATTGGAAACGATGCAAATTGAGGCAATTCCGCACCCTGTCAAAGGAATGTTCCAGGTGAAGGCGATCACCTGATCGTACCGTCTCCCGCTGGGGGACGGGAGGCAATTATCACGACGCCGGCGCTGTGCTGGAGAGCGGCGGGACGCGGGCCCTCGGGGGCGGGACGGGCTGAAGGTGAGCGGCATGTGGACGGAATCAGATATTGTTTTCAGAGGCGCACACACACACACACACACACACACACACACACATTCCTTTTTTGACGGATGGGCAAATATGCATTCTCCTCGCATGAAACCCAAAACCTGGACTTTCTGCATACCAAAGCAGTATTTCCCTCTAAGAAATACAACAGGAGTATTTCAACCCAGGTTCTACCCGAGGCCAAATCACAGTCGATCCTTCAAACGCCTCAAGGCGCGATTTTTTTTTTATTATCCAAAATTGCTAATGCACGAAAAAATGTACGTCTGCTGTGATATCCTGCTCCACAGCGACATGCCTTTGTTAACAAATTGTGCAGCACAGCCGGACCTAAAATAAAACTGGAAGAGAAATCCTTCGCCCGAACAAAACAGCAAGCGGCGGGAAAATAAAAGGCTAAATCCAAATTGAAAAGGAAGCCCCTCAAAATAACGGGCTGCAACTATCCATCCGTAATCAATGCTTGGCAGACAAGTGTGTGATTTGGGGTTACTTTGTTTCCCGGTACAATGGCAATGAAAGGGGGGGGGGTAATGATTGTCATTAAGTCGACATACCAACACCATCGGTTTTGATGAGCGTGTAACAGACGGGAGTGTTTTGTGACAATACTTGTAATTACAGCCAAATGTACTAATCCAAAGACTGAGGGAGCGAAGCCGAAATGGGCCCGAGGACGATTCGGAAACATAAAACCCGAAACGTATCCATGCGTATGAATCTCTGCGTGCACTTATGAAGCTGTAAGGGACGGTCCAACCAGCGAAGAAGGACCATCGTCACGCACCGAAGGACGTCGGTCAGCTGAATAATGAGGTTTCTCCAAAAGGTCGCCCGGGTCGGCGTTAACCGTTTCCACCGCGGTCCCTCACCTTGCGAGCAGTGGAAGCAGAAGACGAGCAGCGAGAGGCAGCGAACCATCGGACGGCTCGGCGGCGAGGCCATGGCGCACGGCCGCGTGCGGACGATCCGGAGGAGCCTTTTGGGGGGAAAAATAATAACAGCGGGTTCAGAGCGCCGCGGTCGCAGGGCGGAAAGCTGCGGCGATGTCAGCCGTCCGTGGAAGCGTCGCCGGGCATCATCTCGCCTGCGAGAGAAAAAAAAGGAGAAGAAAGAGCATAAGAGCGAGGACGGGGACGTTATTTTTTCTTTCACTCGCTCATCCGGGTGCATCCGGACGCACCGCGAACATCTGCTGCTGCTTTCAATCACTCAAACATTACAAGTTTATTCCTCAATGTTTTCACGGCCTCATTCTCCCCCCCCACGTTCCACCTTCCCCCGCGGGAGAAAAAGCCCGTCGCCGTGGCAACGAGCTGGCGCGGGGGACGCCATTAGAGGCACGGCCGCAGCGAGAGAGCGACTTTTGTCTCCGTCCTTATCGAGGGGGCAGAAGCGGCTCTTTGTCTGCAAAAAAGCAGCGAAAGGTTACAGCCGGAGACGGAGGGACGCAGCGGAGAGATAAGCTGCTTACCAGAGTCCAACACACACACACACACACACACGCACGCACACGCGCAGGCCGACAAACGCATGCCTGCACAGACATGTGAGCGACGACACGCGCGCAGGAGACAGGACACACACACACACACACACACGCGCCAGTATATCGGACCTTGTTTGTTCCCATGTGGTTGCCATCCAGCATCGCTCCAATGCACACACACACACAAACAAACAAACAAACACACACAAAGGTGTCCACGCTGTAAACACGGCCGGCCACTTGCTAGCCGTTGCTATGCAGAGGAGAGTCGGCGTTTCTCCGCCGCGTGTTTCTGTTCACGTGCGGCCGAGAAAACACACACGCAGCCGACCTGAGATTCATCAGCCGAACCCGGGCGGGTTTTATAGGGACTGTTTGTCTCCCAGATCAGATAAGACTGAAGAATGAAGGGGGGGGGCAACACACGTCTACTCGCACCCTCATCCCCAAGCGCCGAACAGCACCGCCACCGGTTGAGGATCGGCCATTTATTCTGGAGATATGAGACGCGGGGGGGGGAGGGGGAGGGGTGACCATAATGGTGGCTGACAGGAGGAGATTGGAACCTGTGGGGGGGTGGAGGGGGAGGGGGGGTGCTGAGCCACTCCTCCAGACCCCAATGGACGAGAACCCACCAGACCGCACGGAAGGAGACTTCCCACCACCACCACCACCATCACCCCCCCCTGGGGTTCTTTCTCCACATTGCCCCCCCCCGCCACAGCGTGCTCATCTACCTAAACACGGTTCCGTTTTGGTGGCGTAACGGCGCCGAGTCGGACTCCAGATAAAAGGATTAGACGATTAAACGCGGAGATGCTTCACACAAGCACGGACGGACTCATCATAACTTCACATCGGGGGGGGGGGCGGGGAGATGAAGATGGTGAGGGGGGGGGGGGGCGATGTTCTGAAGCAGAAAACGATTTGCAGAGGTGAGTTAGGCGTCGTTAACCCCCTCAGAGACGGTGCTGAGGAATTATCTAATTATCTAACCCCCCCCCCCAAACGCTACTCCCCCGACTAGCTGCAAATTGAGGTTACTTTGGTTTTTTGGCGTTGGCCACTGAGGCAGATGTGTAAATAAATAACAACATGCAGTTATTGAGTGGGACCACCTACGCGACACACAGGAAACGCGTTCCCCCCATTTAGGACTCAACCGTCCCGTTAATGAGTCTTAATGGCAAATTCACAGGAAGCCACGGAACAGAAACAACGATCATACGTGACTCAGACACTGAGACAAAAAGAATACACGTATGTTCGTACGCGGCCGCGCCAGACGACCACCGGCTGGGTAATTATTCATTTCAGCGGCTCGTCCTAAACAAACACGAGTACGAACGTTCCCTCAAGTTCTTTGGCTCCATTATCAGCACTTCTATATTAAAAAAAAAAAAAAAAAGGGAAATGAAGAACGATCCGCAAACGGTCCCCGACATCTGTTTTCCTTTCGTCTGCCGTACGAACGCGGTGGAAACCCGAGAAGACGGATCCGCCATCAGTCGAGATAACGCAGAGAAGCACAGCGCGCCGCCAATTCCTCACAGCAGCCTGATGGAAATAATAAGCAAGCGTTTAAAAAGAGGACGGAGAGCAATTACGGGACGATTAAAACAAACGGACGGGGGGGGGGGGAGGGGGGGGCGCGGCCCGCATGTCCCCGCGCAAGACGCCCGCCCAGTGAAAGCAGCGTCTCCTTTGACAAAAGCCGGCGTGGGCCTCGCTGGAGAGGCGTCCGCTGAAAGAGAAGGGAGAGGGGGGGGAGGAGAAGGGGGCGGCAGGGGGTCACCGCGGAGGACTGACAGCTCGGCAGTACGGCCCGACCCCATCCCACCCATCCCACCCCCACCACCCCCACCCTGCCCCGGGTTCGCCCCCAAACTTCGTCTCCGCGAAAATAAAAAGCCCAGGAATGTTAATTTATTTCCAATTGTCTGCACAAGTGAAGCAGAGACGTTGGGCTGGACGCCGCCAACCGCCCGCCCGCCCCCCCCCCCATGGTCTGGTTTGTTGCAGGGAGGCAACAATCTTAATTAGTCTATTCATCATTTTCTCAATTAATGTAACAACATTTGTTGTTTTATGAGACCAGCAGTCCAAAAAACCCAAAATGCATCCAGTGAACTGAAGGGAGACGGCTTAAATAAAATAACAGTAGTTTATGCAAATGTTTGCCTGTTGATATCATCTAGATTTCGTAGCGTGAGGTTTCCGGGTTTTAAGCCATACCGGACTGTTCTATGTCATTACAGCCACTTTACATATGATTATTCATTAGAAATGTTGCCGTGTAAATATTCAGTGAAAAAGCATCTAATGTAATTATGGCGTCGAGGGATTTGGTCAAAAATTACGTTGATGTTTGATATTTTCCATCCCACCAAACTGCTGTTTGTGATGCGGATCCTCTGTGAGCGCTTCTCTCATCCCAAAAGAGCCGCAGCTGCAGCGCAGGAGCACCGTCAGCTTCCCACGTCTCCTGTTTGAGGCCACTGCAACGTGTAAATATGCAAAGCTCCAACCTCAAGGCACTTAAACTTCCGCTCTTTATGTTCTCAAGATAAATGTCGAAAGAAGACTGAAGGGGAAAGAAATGCTTTTAAGTCGGAAACGTTCTTCGGCGCAGCTCAAAAAGGCCAAACAGACGCCTCCTGTGAGGTGCAGAGCTTTACAGTGGGATGGAGAGAGAGAGAGAGAGAGAGAGAGAGAGAGAGAGAGAGAGAGAGAGAGAGCACAACAGTTGGTGTGTTCGGCCGCTCGGGGCCAAGTGATGGAGGCAGCAGATAAGGTGAAGCGCCAGCGGGCAGATGGACGTAGTGAAACAGAGACGAGCAGAACAGCGAACAAAGACGACCTCGGCGGCCCCGGTCGATGTCGAGTGAAACGGAGGGAGGCTCTTCAGAGGGGCGCAGCGGGGGGGAGAGAGGGGGGGGGGGGGGGTCAAAGCAGGGCGACCCGTCCAGGTTTGTGGTTGAAATCCCCCGAAATAACAAAACTGTGTTCGCTCGTCCCGTCGATAGAAACGCGGAGCGGACGACTCGCCGTTATTTATTTACGTGAATGAAGTAGATAATAAACAGCGCTTACTGACGCAGACGTCATTTTAACACCTTTTGCATTCAATTCTTGATTAAACGAGCAATGTACTTTTTTTTTTTTATTCACAGATGATTAAACCAAACCATGTGGTTATTTTATAACACAAATCATGCTTTATCCTTATATAATATATATAATATATAAAATAAACAATTCACTTTATTGGGATTGACTATTTTGGCCATTTTCCCCAAATTTTAATTTATAAATTGATATAATGTCAGACAAATATAATGTCTTCAAATTATGCAACACATCAAATATTCCGTTTATATTCGAGGTGGAAGCGGCGATTTTTTTAATTATATTTGAAGGTTAATATCGTCAGTCTGTATAACATTATCTCTGTTATTCTTCACGTACTTTATCCGAAGGCTCTACGAATGTTTTATGGTAGTAAACTATTTTATTTTTATTTTTTTACATTCTCCACTTCAACATTTTTTTGCGCTCGGATACTCGAGCTGATCAAGATCACATTTATTCTGTTAAAAAAAACTAGAAATTTTAAACTGTGGAGGGGGGGGTTACCAAAATGTTGGTTTTCACACACACACACACACACACACACACACACACACACACACACACACACACACACACACACACACACACACACACACACAGCTCGCTCAACATTAAAAACCAGCAACCCCCCCTCTGCATAAACTAACACACACACACACTAATTATTTCATTCTTTCAACGCGTTTTCCAGGAGGTGATGTGTTGATGTTCACACCTTCAGGGGGGTGTGTGTGTGTGTGTGTGTGTGTGGGGGGGGGGTTAATCTGGACCCTCTGCAGCCCGGCTCGGCCCGGATTAGCTCACAGAGTAGCCGCTAACGCGCAGCAGGTGTGGCGTTAATGAGCAACAGGAGGAGTGTAATCAGTCAAAGGAAAGAAAGGAAAAGGGAAAAAGAAAAAAAGTTCCATTGTAATCAAACACAAATTCCCTAAAAGGGAAAATGAAATGTGGCATCTGGACCCGAATGATGTCAGTTTGGGGTAGAAGCCAGAGGGGTGAGCGCCGCCGCGCCCCCTGCCCCCGAAAGGAGACGATGAATCATTTGCAAACGATCTCCGGGTTTTTCTTATTGGATTGGACTCTTCCAACAGGGGGGGGGTCCCCAAAAAATCCCCACAAGCTACTGACGAGCAACATTCTACTGGGGCTACATTTCCAGACATGCCCCCCCCCATTGTAGATTGAGCGGGGGCTTATAACAAAGTGGCTAGTTTTCTTCTGATTAAATAATCAATGCAAATTAACACTGTTAATGGTTTTGGGCTGTTGGTTGTGAAGCTTCGAAAAACGTTTGTGTGAATTATTCAAATAAGTGTCTCTCAGAAGTGTGTGTGGGGGGGGCACAAAGTCAGAGGTGCTACATCGTGTGTGTGAATATTCATTTCAAACTCAAACGAATATTTCAAACAAAACCTCATTATGAAATTGGTGGTTGAACTTTGCGAAAGATTATTTTGCAATAATTG